AAAATCGCCTCTAGTCCGAGCTCGAACTTAAAAATGGTGAAAAATGAGAAGAATCCCGATTTTTAGAAGTTTAAATCACGGGGCGTCAGGTGTTCTTTGCGTTCTCGAGACACCTGGCGCGATTGCGAAGCATTAGCATTTGCGTTCTTTAGAAGTTTAACCACTTGCCTCCCCCAGAATCCCCTTAAACCTTCGCGTTCGCATGTGAATGGTCGCGTACTCGAAGGGTAAGCCCTCCGCTGCTTCGCGTTCGCGACCGGTTCTCCGCATTTGCGTAGAAGAATTCTACCCCTATCCCAGTTTCCCCTTCGCGATCGCAAGAGAGGCTTCGCGATCACGAAGCACATTGCACCAGACATCAGCAACAGTAAAAAACAAGAAACTTTTGTACGTTAAAAATGGTCTGCAGCCTATCCGAAACTCACCCAATCCTCTAGGGCTCCAACAAAACATGCACACAAGCGTAATACATCATACGAACTCGCTCGCGTGATCAAAATACCAAACTAGAGCTACGAATCGGACATCAAAATGCATGAAACTTTTAAAGTAACTCAAGAACTTCCAATTTCACAATCGAGCGTCCGAATCCTATCATACCAACTCTGCTTTGCACCAAATTTTGCAATAAAGTTTTAGATAATAAAAGGGACCCTATACCAAGTCCTGAAACTAAAATTCGAACTTGGTAGACATAAAGTCAACCTACAGTCAAACCTAGGAAATCTTTAAACCTTCAAGTTATTAGTTTTTAACAAATCAAATCAAGTGAGGGACTTCCGAATTCAATTCCGTACATACGCCCAAGTCCAAAATCACGATACGGATCCACCGGAATTATCAAAATACTGATCTGGGGTCATTTACATAAAATGTTGACCTTAGTCAACTCAAGTTATTTTTAAACCCAAAAATCATATTTTCTTCAAATTTTCACATAAAATCTTTCTGGAAAAAGATACGGACTACGCACACAAATTGAAAAATACTAAACGGAGCTAATAGAGGTCTCAGAATATAAAAATAAGGGCTAGAACTCAAAACGATCTATCGGATCGTCACACTTCAGAATTCAGGAATCATTTGGCAGTCTGTGACTCATTAGTTACTTTATACAAGTTCAATTGAACTCATTATACTCTGTTAGTCTGTGACTCATTAGATCAGTTGAACTCAACAACTACTTTATTAATCTGTGACTTATTAGTTACTTTATACGAGTTTAATTGAACTTATTATACTTTATAATCAAGCTAAGTATACATATTTCAAAGAAAAATATTTTAATGTGTGTAATAATGAAGATCACATTAATTTTGAATCCATTAACTACGCCTCTAGCCAAAATTTCATACTTCTGATAATTTTCTGTTTTGCAAATTAGAAGTCCATTCTCAGTCATTTGATTGTAAGTCTCTTCAGGGCTCATAAGTTGGTTATCCTCCATAAGCAGTGATAAGATCGTAGATAGCCTGGGCAGATTGGATAACATTGAGGATAACCTCAAATTATCTAGCAGATTGTTAACTCACTCCAAGTCCAAGAACGTTCAAGGACTGCACCCTAAAGAGCTACATGATTTTTAACAATTGACTAGAAGTTTTTGGAGAGTCACTTTGAGGATTCGTGCAAAAATACCACATTTGGATGCTTGCAGATTGTGAAGAACAAGTTTGGGAGAAAATTGAGTAGTTGCGCCTAGCAGTCAGAGAGCGCACTTGAGCGCGCGCAACGCACGTGCAGTGCACACAAGGGGCAGAGCCACGGGAGTCCTTGCGCGAAGTCGTGCATGCTTCAAGTGCACGAAGCGCTCATGACCCTAACGAGTTATTTTTGAAAAATTAACTTTGGAACTTTTCATATTATCCATTTGGTATTTATGATGGCCCACGGTTATTTCATTAGTCAATTAGCGCATTTTGACACAAAAAGCATTCTTGAGAGAGATTTGGAACCTCTTGGTTTGAGTTCGACTTTGAATTCCTTTCGTTATATCTATGGCTTCTATTTTGTCGTTTTTTGGAGGCGATCGAATTAGCTATGATTGTTGCTTAAGATTTTCACTTAGGATTCTAGATTTCCTTTTTTGTTTTGAATATTCAGACTATTTTCGATTACTTTAATCGAAATCTATCTTTAATTTTTGTATTTAATTATTGTTATTATATTCTATTGTTTTGCTTAACTCGGATTATATCAAGCAACCATTAATATTAATTTTCTTTATAATTGGTTCTTTAGAAACATTTCTTTATTGGCAACTAGCATTGATTGGTGATTTCCAAGTGATTTCTTCAGTATTTTCTAGGATTATATTAAAGATAATCGTTAAGAGTAGTTGTTATTTTATATGTTTTTTAATCCATTTTGTAATTAAAATGTCAGCATCGTAGTCATTACTCTGACTATCAAAATCATTAATCTGAAGAAGAAGAAGAAGTAAGAAACAGAGGAAATAATCAAAACGATTGTGACAAAGAGTGGACTGAATAGAGGAATTTACGTGTGTGCACATGGAGGGGTCTTCTATTTGCAGTCCTTTCTGAAGTTTAACTGAAAATGACAAGCAACTAGTAAGTATTACTAACAATTGATCCTTTAAGTTAACTTGTCGCACTAAACATTTCCTCCTAATTAATTAGTACTATTTAGTTACACTTTTCATTTCAATTTATGTGAAGTTTATTATTGCACACGAAGTTTAAGAAATAAGTAAAAAACTAAAATTTGTGATGTTAAACAAGCCATAACTTTTGTATTGTTATAATTTTTTGAAAAAATGCATAAGTACCCCTTGACCTATAGCCATATTTTCAATTACACACTTTATCTTTGTGGAGATCTTATTATCCCCCCTAAACTATTTTTAAATGGAATTAGTATACTCGTAGTGCTGATGTGACAAAGAGAGTGTATGCGACCCTCCTTGGTAGATGAGAAAGAGAGATGATGCTTCAATTTTATTTTTATAACATTTTTATAAAATGTACTATTTTTCTATTTTTGTTTTGTTTTTCTTTGTTTTTTTTTCCTTTTCTTTCCTCCAGTTTTGTTACTTATAGATTGGCCAGAAATTAGCTCCAACATTTTCCATATTCTCCGACAAGTTTGAGTTGAACATTTTATTCTTTTCTCTCCATATTTCACTACATTCTATAGAGGATTACTGCTATTTCTAATCCTTCACTCACCATTTTTAAATTTTCAATTGCAATTGCTTCTCACATAACGGAGTGAAAAAAATATCATCCCAAGATCAATTTTCGATTAAACCTAGAAAAAGCCCACAAAAGACTGAACAAGAAAAAGGGTTTTGATTGTTAGTTACAAAAAATATTCTCACCATGCTCGCCGTTTTCCAATTGGGGCCACTACTTCAGGTAGTGAGGTGGGGGAGGGGAGTCCTATTTTTTTAATTAATCAGCTTTACATAAAAGAGAGAACCAGGAAGAAGAATTTGGTTGTTGATTGTTGATTGCCAGAAAGTTTTCTAGGAGCTCATCGTTTTTTGATCTGCTTCTTCAACCAAAAAAATTTCATTGCTTCACTTATGGGTTTGGAATGGAAGAAGGATGGGATGTGTGAAAAGGGAAAATGCTTTTGAAAAAAAATACAAAACGTGAGTTGGGAAAAGAAGTAAATGGGGAAAAAACAAGAAAAAAACGATTTTAGTAGGAAATACATGTGTCATGCCCGTGTATTTCACCACCAGACACAAATGTGGTAGTGCCATTTCAGGGTGATACTAATTCCATTTAAAAATAGTTTAGAGGAGTAATAGGACCCCCACAAAAATAAAGTGTATAGTTATAAATCCGGTTATAGATCAGGAGGATACTTATGCATTTTTCCTAATTTTTTTTGAAACTAAGCATAATCTTAAACAGGTCATGATAATTGTGGTGACTATAAAAACTTCGAGAGAAAAAAATTAGAAATTGGCGGGCCTAAGATTTTTAAGTCATGTGCGTTCAACTGCCTTAATCTAGAATTATTTTCTAAGATTGGGTGCGTAGACAGTACCTTTATATGTTATTACTAGTTTTCAATATATAATATATAATATAGTGTTTGGATAAATTAATGTAGGTTCGCCATTGAAAAAGTCATTATATTTTTACAGGCTAAAAAGGAAATAAGTTCACGTAAACTAACAAAGAGAGTTTTATGTATTATTAAAAAATTATGTGCATATTATTTTCATAATGTAGCACTTGAATGAGATAATTATACGCAGAGCATGTACCAACTTTCTGGTATTAATTAAGGTTGGACGATAATTAATTGTCTGTTAACTACATTGAATTTGAAGCAGTTTTCATGTGTTAGTTGTGTTACCTTCCTTGGCTATAGTTCGCACCGAGAACCTCATATTCTCCTCTAAAATTAATGGCATTAATTAGTTCCATAACCAATTGAGCTAGTGGTTCCATCCCTAAATTTAGCAAGGACTAATGGGAAAAATAAGCAATGCTTCTACTCTTTCCGTTCACTTTCACTTGGCATATATATTAATAAAATAAATTTTTTCTTGTCTCTTTACCTATATTAAGATAAGACAATTTTTTTTCCTATTATACCCACAGTATTTATACAGTATTTATTACTCATTTGAAATCATTTTCTCAAATCCAATAAGATATGCATCAATTAATATGGGTATCATGGTAAATTATGCACTTCATTTATTATTTCTTAAGGGGCGTGAAAAGTCAAAACGTGTAAAGTAAAAGTGAACGGAGGGAGTAATTTAAAATCTATGTTTAATTAAAAGAATTTTGTAGCTAGTTTGCTGTGGTCACAAGTTAACCAGCAAATTGAACCTATGTCATAAAATGAATGCTAAATCAAATCTTTCTCAACTAACTCAATCTTTTAGCAGAAAATATGAAAAAGCCAACAACTTTTTTCTTTTTTTTTTTCTTTTTTGGTAAATCGAACGTGATTTGTTTCTGTCATTAACGGATTTCCCAAAATACAAACATTTCAAACAGCAGCTATAAACGTTAATACTTTACCGTTTCCCATAATACGTGTCTAAGAGAAAGAGAAGCTCTATTTACAAATTTTGCTTCCTCTTTTCTCTTTTTTCCTTTTGTGACAATAATAATGGTAGGAACAATTTTTACATTTAACAATTCACATACCATGTTTTCACACCCCTTCTTCCTTCTCCTCCTACCCATAAAAAAAGACAAATGAAAAGAAAAAAACAAAAAAAGAAGAATTTTTACATCAGCCATGGTGGTTGACTATCATGGACCAAGGTACCAAGCAAAGTCCCTTCTTCTTTAGTTCTATATAGCCATTGTTTTTTCCATCAAAAGATATGCTGTTTTTCTCAACTGTTTGCATTTCTTGGATTTGTCCAGAGCCACCTTCATTTCCCTACACAATAATCAAACACCCAAAAAGTAGCATTTTAGACATGGTTCAAGTCTTCTGGGAAAGCCCCACAAACCCTAGTTTCATTTTTCCATAAAGATCAATATATAAGTGGAAAATGTTGGAATTTAAAAGGAAAAGATTAATTACCAGGAAATATCCACTACTATTTTCACTTCTGTAATTGGTGTCCATCTTCTTAAAACTACTTACCTGTCATAATAAAGCAACATATCTCAATATAAAATGAGGAATTAAAAACTTTAAATAGTCGCTCATTCAACCGCCTTACCTAACCACTTAAATAAAACATAACCGGCAGATATATAATATATATGTAATTCATATATAATATGTGTATAATTATGAATAATTAGTGTGTATATATATATATATAAGTTATGTATACCGATTAGATAAAATGAACCGTCAATTCGGTCAGTTATTTATGTCAATACCATACAAAATATTGTGGAGAAAAACCAACAAAAGATGAAACATAAATAAAAATTTAGGAGATGGTTGTAGGTGACCTTTGGACTATTGACAGGTGAGCTAGCAGTGTCTTCCAAATCAGGATCAGAAATTTTCTTGTTTCTTTTTTTCTTCAAATTCAACCTCTTAAGAAAAGGTGAGCCACCCATGGGAGGAGAATATTGATTATTATTTGTGTTACAATCAATGTTCCATGCAGCATGAGAAGCAGCATCAGATAACAAAGAAGGGCTGCCAAAACTATCAGAATTACATGAGCTATTATTTTCCCTTTGCTTCATTGAAAAATCCTCCAAATAAGTTGTCCATCCACTTTCTTCAGCTGCTGCTTCCATCTCAAAGTTTGAATTATTTGGACCTTCCATTTTTCTTGAAGTAGTGATTTGAGGGATATATTCATCTCATTTATACAGGGATTGTGTATAAATAAGGAAAATAGGAAACTAGGTGGGACCCATGATGTGGAATCTTGGTGGTGGGGCCAGGTGGGGGAAGTTGAAGAAGTTAAAATCAACCGTTCTAATGTGACAGACGTGCAGAAAGGAAAAGAAATTTCAAGGGAGAGATGAGGTTATTTGTTGACCTTTGTTGTTTAAATGCGGAGCCGGACTTCATGAATTCTAAATTATAGGGAGAGCTTTACCCCGAACGAGACTTCGCGGCGCAAATTCGGATTTAGTCAGACTCCAAAGCGTGTACCGGACAGTAAAAATCCTATGAGATTAGACAAAATTACTAGATTTGATCGAACTCATAGCAAATATTTTAGCTTCGCACCTATTTAAATGATATTGCCTGATATTAAAGCCATTTCTGCTCACCCATTGGTATAAACAGAAAGTTGTTTAGCCTCTTGTGACATTTTATTTATCTACAAATATAAAATTTAACTACTACTAATATTTTGAGGGAGGCATTAATTAATTAGATTACTTGGGAATAGGTTCATGAACTATTTCAAATTAAATGTGTACTAGTGTTCACACTATTATTCTTACGCAGTTTATACGTGGAAAGAATTGGCCAGCGATTTGTTTTTAATTCACTTTAAGAAAATGAAGAGGAAGAACTTAGAGAAGGGGAATGTTTGTTGGTTTATATAATATATTCAATGACTTTAACCTACTAAAAGATATCATTAATACAAAACTAGAAAGAGGTTTACTTAACTAAGAAAAGATCGTCATATATGGAGTTCATATCGCAAGGAACTTGTCATGATATGGCTTCAGAGTTCAGCCTTTGTCGAGCTTGAACTGGCTGGCAATTAATTAGAAATAAAGGAGCTAGTATATATATCTGTAAAGGATGTAGTTAGTTAGTTAACTTAACTACAGTTAGTACATCTGGCAAAGATTAGGCGGTTAGTTTTAGTTATATACAGTAGCTTGTCTCGTTCATTTTGTACTGTATATGAATAACAGAGCAAAATTTCTCTCTATCGAATTCTCTCTGCATTCTTCAACTTTGTTTCTTTCTCTTTAGCTGTATGTTGATGATAAATTCATCATGGTATCGAGCAGTTAATCAAGTGATTCAAGGGGATTTTTCGTGCAAATGAAGAAAAATTCGAGAGAATCTACTCAATTTCAGAAGCTTTGAGCCCTAATTCTATACTTTTCAATGGCGATTCCTGAAAATTCGACTATTAACGGGAATAATGGAGCTGAAGCGAGCACTGGAGCAGTTGCTTGCTCAGTTGTTCTCGATCACAACCATCCTCTTTACCTGCACCCTTCTGATGGGCCAGGATCTATGTCGGTGGGGCTCTTCTTGACTAGAATGGAGAACTACACTCTTTGGAGTCGTGCGATGAAGGTTGCACTATTAGGTAAGAATAAATTGTGTTTAGTAGACGGATCGACATCAAAAGAAGATTTTGGTTTTAATTTAGGAAGTCAGTGGGATCGATGTAATGCCATTGTGACTTCATGGCTTATGAGCAATGTAAGTAGAGAATTGGTAACAGGAGTGCTATTTTCTTCTAATGCATAGAAGGTATGGGCTGCATTCAAGGAGCGACTTGACAAAGTGAACGAATCGAGGTTGTACTACTTGCATAAGAAAATATTCACCCTAACACAGGGGATTTCATCAGTATCGACTTATTTCACCAAGCTGAAAGATCTGTAGGCAGAATATGACTCGATACTGCCACCTCCTCCATCAGCTACATAGTATGTTGATCAATTGGAATATCATCAACTATTACAGTTTTTGATGGGATTGAATGATAATTTTGAGCAAGCAAGGAGCCAAATCTTATTAATGTCGACCTTACCATCTATAAATAAGGCTTATGCTATGGTAGTTCAGGATGAAAGCAGAAAGTTGATTACTGGTGGTACCTATGGGCAAGCTGGGCATAATGACCCTACTGCCTTGTTTACTGCGCATTCCACATCTAGACCAAGGAGAAATTATAGTCTAGAATGTGATTTTTGCCATTTCAAAGGTCATATTAGAAATGAATGTTACAAACTAATGAAGTGTGAATTTTGTAACAAGACAGGGCATTTAAAGGAAAATTGCTACAAGATTGTTGGATATCCATCTGATTTCAAGCAGAAGAAGAAAGCAAATGCAGTCATGGTTGATACTACTGGACAGCAAGGATTGACAATCTCACCAGCTGCATATCAACCAAGCAACAATGTTGAACCTGCTCAATTCTTCACTAAGGAGCAGTACAATCAGTTGCTGCAATTGCTGAATAAAAGTTCTATTGGAGAAGCAAGTGCCAACATGGAAGGTAAATGTTTCTGTGGTAATGTAACATTATGTGAAAACTTAGAACTATGTAAGTGGATAGTTGATACTGATGCTACTATCCATATGACTAGTGACAAAAGTTTGCTGAAAAATGAAACTTCAGTAGGAAATTCAGGGCAAGTTCAACTGCCTACAGGAGATTCAGCACCAATTTCTCATATAGGAGAATGTCAGCTCACTGGAGGTGATGTACTGAAAGATGTGCTATGTGTACCAGCTTTCAAATTCAATCTCATGTGAGTTTCAAAAGTGACAGAAGATCTCAAATGTAGTGTTACATTCTTTCCTTAATGTTGTGTATTTCAGAACCTCTTGTCTGGGAGGGTGAAGGAGATTGGTAAAAAGGAGGAAGGTTTATACATATTATCAGCAGCATTAGGGAAGACAATGAATAGAGCCTTTACAGTAACTAGTAAAGCAAGCATGAAGATATGGCATAAAAGAACAGGACATGTTCCAATTCAAGTTCTAAGGAGGATTCCTAGCCTACAAGACTGCAGTGGTATCTTACATATTAAAACATTGTCTAAATGTGAAATTTGTCCTTTAGCTCGACAAACTAGAGTGCCATCTCCAACTAGCACTATCAGAAGTTTACATAGTTTTGATTTGATTCATATGGATGTGTAAGTACCTTATAAAGTTGCTACTCAAAATGGAATGAGATACTTTCTCACATTAGTTGATGATTTTACCAGGTGGACTTGGGTGTTTCTTATAAGACTTAAAACTGATATTATTTTCTTACTTAAGAACTTCATTACTATGATCAAGACACAATTTGGCAAATAAATTAAAGTGTTTGGATCAGACAATGGTAGTGAATTTTTTAACAGTGCCTGCAAAGACCTATTTGAGCTGCATGGAATTGTCCATCAAAGTTCTTGTCCATATACTCCTCAACAGAATGGAGTTATTGAAAGAAGACATAGACATATACTTGAAACTACTCGGGCAATCAGATTTCAAGGCCATTTACCTGTCAGATATTGGGGGCACTGTATAGATGTTGTTGTATACATTATTAACAGGATTCTTTCTTCTGTTTTGACATATAAATCACCCTCTGAACTACTCCTTGGTAAGCCACCTTCACTGACACACTTAAAAATCATTGGATGCTTGTGTTTTGCAACTAACTTGACAAGCCATAATAGATTTGCACCTTGAGCTGTGAGGTCAATTTTGATGGGATATGATGCACATCAGAAAGGTTACAGACTATTGGACTTGGAAAATAGAGTGTTCTTCATCAGTCGAGGTGTAGTCTTCTATGAAGACATGTTTCCTTTTCATACAGCTGAAAACTCATCAGAATCATTATTCCTGGATACAACTCCAGTGCCAAGACAGGATTTATTGTGAAACCAGTTGCAGTAGATAATTCTGTTACTTCTAATCATCCTAATGCATCTAGTGTGCCATGTTCACCTCTTATAACTCTTGTTCTGTTAGTTGAACAAGACATTCTTCTTCTTCTTCTGAGCATAATAGTGTTGATATCCCAACCGATTATTTTGCTACTCCTCATGTTGAGAAAACAACGAAATCAACTAGAGTGTCTAAGCCTCCAATATGGCTTAAGGATTATGTTAGAAATGACAGGTTAAGTTCTGTAAGCTGCTGCAAATATCCCATTTCAGAACTTATTGGGTATGAAGCAATCTCTCCAAAATGTCAAAGCTACTTAGCTAGCTTTTCTATTGAAGTGGAACCTACAACATATTCAGAGGCGGTCAAAGACAAGCGATGGGTAGAGGCAATGCAGGCAGAAATTAAAGTACTGGAGGATAAAAAAACTTGGGAATTGGTGTCCTTGCCACAAGGACAGAAGGCAATAGGATGCAAGTAGGTTTATAAAATCAAATATAAGGCATCATGAGAGGTAGAAAGGTTCAAAGCTCGATTAGTAGCCAAAGGGTGTAATCAAAGGGAAGGACTAGACTATCAAGAAGCCTTTTCCCCTGTGGTAAAAATGGTTATCGTTAGGAGTGTGTTTTCTGTTGCAGCCTCAAGAATTGGTCCATCCATCAAATGGATGTTTATAATGCCTTCTTGCAAGGTGATCTAACTAAGGAGGTGTACATGATAATACTTCCAGGTTTTAATGGATCAAATGGTAAGTTTACAGTTTGTAAACTGCTCAAGTCTCTCTATGGACTTAAGAAGGCATGTAGATAATGGAATCTCAAGTTAACTTTAGCCTTGGTGGATGTTGGTTTTCAGCAGAGTCATTTGGATTATTCCTTTTTTATCAAAAGAGCAGCAGATCACATGGTGGTAGTCTTGGTCTATGTTGATGATCTCCTTATTACTGGTGATAGTCTTGTATTGATTCAACTGACCAAGGATGATTTACAAGATTCATTCAAGATCAAGGACCTAGGAGAGCTTAAGTACTTCCTAGGCATAGAATTTTCCAGAAATGGTGATGGTATATAAATGCACCAACGCAAATATGCTCTAGAACTTATTGCTGAATTAGGGCTCTCAGGTTCCAAGCCTGTAGCTTGCCCTATAGAACCCAATGTGAAGCTTACAACTGCTGAATTTGATACTTATACAGAATCGTCTGATGATATGTTGCCGACTGATCCTGGACCATATCAAATTAGGGAAGCTACTTTATTTGACCATCACAAGGCCAGACATTTCATTTGTTGTTCAGAGTCTCAGCCAATTCATGCACAATCCTAAAGTTTCTCATATGGAAGCTGCACTCAATGTGGTCAGGTATATTAAAAAATAGTCCAGGATTGGGGGTCTTTTTGACTGCCCATTGTTCTGAGTCACTCAAAACATTTTGCGATGCAGATTG